TTTTTTTTTAGCCATGGCGCAGCACATTGTAGCACGCGACCGGGAAAAAAATAAAATAAAAAAACCGGCCACATGCCTGACTGAACTGCTAGAAAAGGCCAGCCCAAGTTTCAACTGCAATTGAAACTTGGGCGCTGTCTAAACTTCTAAAACGCAGTTCGAAATGCAATTGCAAAATGTAACCCTGACTCCGCCGTAGTTTTCTCATTATATATATATATATATATATATATATATATATATATATATATATATATATATATATATATATACTAAAGGAAGGATAGGGCCCCGGTGCTGGAGTTTTTTGTCTGTGACCAAGGGTGGGAGCTTGAGGCCTGTGGGGTTATGCCGAGGATGGAAGGCGTAACCAGACAGTCCGATGTATCCGGCACCGGGGTAACCTGGTGTTAGGGGCTTGCCGTTACTGGAAATGTCAAGGGAGGAAGGCACTTCCTGTCCGTCAGAACTAGGTTGGTCAGTACTGGGGAAGGTTGTGGTGCCCTGTTACCCTAGGAGAAGGGGGTATGAGATCAAGTGAGTTCTGGTACGAGGACTGAAAGTGTAGCGGTACCCTTTCGGCCCGGCAGTGAGGCCGGACCTGTTTCAGGCCGTCGGCCTGACCTCGGTCCGGTAACGGGTTACTCCGGCCTTGACCAAGGCCGGTATATCTCTCCAGCCTAGGCCCAGGGCGGGTTGATCAGTCTTTCAGTTGTTCACTCGTTCATTGAGTCTGACTGGGCCTTTACTCAGTTGCTGCTCCGTGTTTGTACATCTCCTCTCTCTCTCTCTCTCACCATCTTTGCACGTGCCCTCCGCTCGTGCGTCACATTGGTATCAGAGCAGGTTCTCGAACCTCTGCTCCCTCCCTCCCCTCCTCCCTCCCTATCCAGTCGTCACGATAGCTATCGCCAAGTCCGTTCTTGCAGCCGCGCCTGGTCCATCAACGCGACCAGATACGCTCGTCACCCAAGCTGGCACCTTTTCTCGACGCGGGAGCTACTACAGTTGCTGTTGTTTTCCTACAGGCTGCCGGGTGAAGTGTCTGGATCGCGGCCACCTCGGCGACCTGCAACTTGCGGTGTTGTGAGAAGTCCATTGAACCTTATCATTGCAGGACGGAGAAGTCGTAACCCGATCCTCCTAGGTGAACTTGTGGAGGATCATTGACACGTGGACTGCCGACTTTCCACCAAGTCAGCACATCCTTCCCCCCCTTCCCCTCTTTCCCTCCAATCCTGACTTCCCTGATCTTACCCCGACTCGCCTCCCC